ATCCCAATAGGACATAGCGCTTTTCATCAGTGCATCTCAAAGGCTTCACAGTTTTGAATATATGTATCCGCTCAGCCCCCCTGTGAAGTAGCACAGGGCTCTTATCCCTATTGTACAGATGGGAACTGAAGCACAGAGAGGCTAATGATTTGCCCAGAGTCATGCAGGTTGTCTGTGGCGAAGCAGGGAATTGAACTGGGGTCTTCCAAGTCCTCATGGGGCTGTATGTGGGTACATACGTTGTCAGGTGTTGAAAGAGAATGGACTTATTTTATTTTGACTTGTACAAACAATTGCAGCAAACCTCTTATCCTAGTTACAAACAAATGTAAACAAATCATACAACCAACCTATTAACAAAGAACTCTTCTCCCCTCTCCATGTGTGAATCAATAAACCCTACCCCTCTTTAACGCAATTATACCAGGCTTCGCATACACCATTCTCAGACGTTTGGAAAAGCCGATCTAGCCACATATTTAGAAAGTCAGATGCTGGCTCTGTCAGGCAAAGAGTTGGGAAGCTGAATTCTGTTCTGGTTCTTATATCATCAACAGAAATGATAACGAAGCTCTGCAGGAGAACTTTGTACTGATATTACATGATCCAGGAAGCTTTCAGATCCTAGGATGAATTTGCAGAGCAGTCAATTATAAGAATTGCTTTTTAACTTGTAAGCTGGGGGATCACTGAAGCACAATACAGCGGGAAGCCTATGATGCTATTCATAGTTACTCTTCACAGTGGAACTACATGCTTACTGCTCTCAGATTGCACCATTATACCACTAATATGCAAACTAAAATAATTTTTTTTCCTCAACAGTGAGGACAATGTCCCTGATTCCAAAGAAGTTAAAGACAAATTCCATGACCGCCTCATTGAAGCTTTAAGTGAATATGGACCAAACTTCCTTGCCTACTTTGCCTCCTTTGTAACAACTGGTCTTCTCTGGTTTGTCCACCACTCGCTCTTTCTTTACATAACAAAAGCAACTCGATTTATGGGACTGCTCAACACATTTTCATTGGCTTTCATTGGAGGGCTTCCTCTGGCTTACCAGCTGACCAGTGAATTTGCAGAGAAGTCTCACAATGAAATAGAAGCTATTCAGGTCAGCTGTGTAATCACTTTCTTTGCCAGCATCTTTCAGTTTGCTATATGGATCACAGCTCTGTTCCACGAAAGGGAAACCTTGCATCCTTTGGCGAGGTATGGCGGCAAGGAACATGCTTTTATGTTTGCTAAGCTTGCTCTCTACCCTTGTGTCAGCCTTGGGGCCTTCTTTCTAACCTGCTTGTTAAGTAAGTTCAGCACAGCGATTTTTCACATCATGCAGATTGTAGTCCCCTTTGCTTTCCTTGCCCTGCGCATCCTTGTCAGGATTTCTTTGGCAATTATGAAGTCAATGTTGTCTCTCTCCAGACGGAAGAACGTAGTGTTAGATGAAGAGGAAACATGTTTGTCTCCTGCTGAAACGCTCTCATAGATTTCCATGCAGCGCATGTGAAATTGTAACATTATTTCTAATTCTAACTGGTGTTGTTCTAACATAGTAGATGACTGGTCTATACTAAAGTCTACGTTGGCCATAACTGGGGCATCTTTAATGTTTAGCTAAAGGATCTCATGTCCCTTTTTTTAGAAATGAAAGTATTTCTATTACTTGGGTGAGTGGAGGAGCCAGAGAACAGCAGGATTTCCCTCCTTAACGGACTACCCACGAGGAAAAAATACTGCTTGAAGCATTACTGCAGTGATAATGCACTAGAAACACATCAGAAGATAAGCAGCATTAACCTGTTGCTCTGACATATATTATGAAAGTCAGTAACATGGCAACCACCAGCAGAATGGTTGGAAGCTGATTGTGCCGCTATTGAAGGCGGAGGGAGGGGGCTGGAAATTGTGAAGGAGACTCCCTCTCGGCATCCAGGTGGGGGAATCCTCAAAAACCCTTTGTCCTACCCATGTAGAATGCCAGCGTCCCGTTATGTTCCTCCTGTGGACCTTCCGCAAAGTCACCAATCCTGTGGCTGCACTTCAAAAGTTGCTTGTCTTTTGGGTTGCTCTGCTGAGCATGTGCAGGCTGGAAGGGAATGTGTGGCCCATACACAATATTTCCAGACTACCCTAACACAAACACAAATCCATTAAGTCAATCATGTGTTGTTGTTTTTAAAAAAAATATTTCTTAACCTGACAGGATTCATGTGAATAGTTATCATTTCAGGGTGTGAACCAGCCATATTCACCTCCTCCTGGGAAGAATGTTAAGAGCTGTGGGACCTGAAGTAGTTTTGTCTTGAGCTCTGAAACAAAGCTGCTAGCCAGAGATGAAAGAAGTTTCTGCACTTCTCTCCATTATCCTATTAGCCCCAGGGGAAACTCCCCGACAACAATCTGCAGCTAGAAACATGATTTAGGGGACACTGGGAGCATGCAGCTGCTGTTCTTAACCTAATTCCTAGGTATGTGAGGGAGTTGGCCCTTTCCCTAGCTCGAGGCTGCCCAGGGGGTTAATATAACTCCCATAGGCTGCACAGCTCTAGGAGAGAACAAGGAGAACTGACCCAGCAGGAGGAGTTACAGTGCCTAGGTGGAAAGGAACTCCTTTCTGTTAGTTCCCCCACCCTCTTCTAGGTGTGGAAGGAAGTTGTTACTTTGGGCCATGTGCCGCAGGCACACCTTTCCCCTGAAGAAGTCTGCAGGCTACATATTTCTCTTGGATAGAGTCATTAGCTTGCATTGTGAAATGTCTGTGCCTCATACTTCTGCTCTATTTAAAACTATGTGAGGAATCATGTTTACTCTTAAAAAACACTATAGCAAGTAAGTAGAATAAATCTTATTGAAAACCGCTTTAAAAAGTTAGTCCAGTTCAGATTGCATTGAAAGCACCTCTCCTTTTAGTACAGTGCACTTTAGTACCAAAATGTAGCAGTTGGTATTCTGCACCCTATTCTGAAGGGTTGTGTCTTGGGGAATATCAGTTTGTTTGGGGTTTTTTATGTTGAATGGCTTACAGTGGGGTTGTGTATTATGTTGCATATTGCTGTTCAGTGTGAGATCTGATAAAAGCAGTTTTGGTTCTGTTTGTTCTCATTGGTTTTAATGCTGCTATGCAATTGATATATTTGTATTTGTAATAATTTCAGATCAGTTAAAAATCAAAGCATCTAATGTATTTTTGTTCAGATTAAATCAAAACCTGATGATTAAAATTAAAACAATGTATTGGGAATATGTCTTTATTTTCTTGGAAAATATTATTGTTCCATCTTTAACTTTAGCATCTTTGGACTGGAGTCTTAATTCATTTAATGGGATAAATCTACTTAGAACACTGATGTGTTTTGGCCAGAGGGTGAATCTGTAGGGTGCTTTTTATATTCCTTTAACCATTCTTTTCCCCCTTCAGCAAACTTTCTCTAGTCACCAATGATGTTAAATAAATTGGAGCCATGTACTCCTACATGTTTGTGAACTCATGGGCTTATGTGAGAAGTCTACTTATGCATTAGAGGGAGAGTTTGGTCTAAGAAGATGAGGAAGCAGGGCATACAGACCTGGTCTAATGCAGGAAATATGTGTTCAGTAAAGCTTTGATGCTAACATCAATACCACTAAATTTGAAGAAATCCTGACTCTCTTGTGAGGCTAGATTTAGTAGTTGAAAGATAAAATGGTTTAGACTCATAGGTTCATAGACTTTAAGGCCAGAAGGGACATCATGATCATCTAGCCTGACCTCCTGCACAACGCGGCCTCAGAACCTCACCCCCCCCCCACTCCTGTAATAGACCCCTAACCTCTGGCTGTTACTGAAGATTAGTATGAAAAATAAGCAGCTGCACTCCAATGCGACATGTCCTACAAACAGTTTTTGTTCCTGCTCTACAAGAGCAGTGAATTAAACTAGATAAACTCACTGCCGGACATAATCATGTTGATTAAATACCACCTTTGTTTTGAACCCCAATTATATTGGAAGAGTGGTGGCTAGCAAAGATTTAAGCGTCCCTTCCACAGAGAGCATTTTTCTACTTGTAACCCAGTTCACAATTCTCAATTCAAATTAGCCATTCAGGTATGGTTCAACTTAATTTTCCAAACCCCTACATTTGGGGACAAACTTGACCTGGAAGTTCCTTTAAGAGGGAAGAGTGTTGGCTTTAGATTGGTCTGACGTGTCTCTTTGTAAGTTCTGATGAAACAAGCTGCATTTTCAAATGAACAGGAACTGTGGACTCCATGATTGTCAAGCAGATGGGACAGTTTAAACTCCACCTTTTTACAGCAGGTTTCTACCCAAAATCAGTAAGGATTACACCTTTCTTTTTGAAACTCTTAACTGTTTTTATAAATGCTGCTTTTGCTCTAATGAAAATGGACAACTCAGAATTAAAGATGGTACCAAAGAATGTTATCCATTTTTAATCCATATAAAAACAAGTCATTATTTCTTGGACGTGAAAATGTTTACAAGTAGGATTGTGTGTTCATTTCTGGGGAAGATAAAAGTTGTGGCTCTGGCAATACTGACTGCTTTAGAGAACATCATTTCCCCCTAAAGTAGACTAGTCAGCCTGGAACACGCAATAGCAATGTGTGGTTGATCTCTGCAAATGTTCTCTCTCTCCTGCTCCTGCGTAATGCAACTGTGATCCCACAACGATGGCCACTTTTATAATTACCTATCACGGTGTACAAAGAGGCAGATGCCATTAATAGCGACCTGTTCATAGGTTGTTTGCATTTTCTAAGAATCTGCTAGCACATCTTTCTCTGTTTATTTTGTCTGGCATAACTTTGAAATGAAATGCCTCTGCAGTGGGCTAAGGAGAATGGAGTTAGCACAAAACCAAAACTATTGCTATGAAAAAGCATGGTAAAAGATGCAGTTTTCACCGGGGCCCTCCAAAATAATGGAGATTAGGACATAGCTATTTTTAAATTGCATGAGCAGTGGGTAACTGAGTTATCACTACAGCTGGGTAAAAAAAAATTAGTTCATTTTTTATTTATTAACCCAATGTGAGAATTTAGTGCAACTAACAAGTTTGTGCTCTTTATTCTTCCTTTTCCTCTCCATGTGTGATAGTGTAGCAGAAAGACTTATAATCCAAGTTTCCTGCTGCATCAATAGGGGAACTCTTGAACATCTGGTCTATCTGTATAGCATTAAAAGAAAAGAACGTTATGTTTTTCCAAAGCAGTGTTTTAGCAACCTTCAACTTAAAACTCCAGCATGGAAGCAAGTATCTGCAGCCACTTACTCATTCTTTTTTCTGAATTATTTTGAAAAATTAATAGAGAGCATTTAACAGCTTGAAACAGATGATGCTCTGTTAGCTAGTAATTCAGTAGGCCTCTGCAATGTGAATGTTGTAACATGGGTTAGTGGTAATTCCTAAAGCCATTGACTAAAAGGATTTCAAAACACTCATTTCCCTTATCCAAAAGAGGTTATTTTAAACTTATATAACAGAATAGTCTTGCTGCCTTTCTAGGAAGCAACTGTTATTATATACCAACATGCACTTGAGTGACAGATACAGGAGTATACAAACCTCTTCAGCAGTGAATTTGTCAGCCTGTGTCATCATCATGCGTTTTAAGCTAGTTAAAACAGACGCAGAGAGAAGATTAGTTAGATGACTCTTTAAGTCAGAGTAAGGATAGCACAGTCACAGTTCCTCACAATGAAATAATTCTAGAATACTTTATTTTGCAACCTTGTCTTTGGAAAATTTTAAGTTGCAGAAAAAAAACTCTCTACTACCATTCTATTTACTGTGTAGTTAAATTGTTTCCCCTCAGACAACTGGCTAGTTCCCAACTGGATACCACCTGCACATGTTCAGTTGTGGTTTTAGCTCAGTAGGTACCAGTTGGGAAGGACAGCGAGTGTCCTTTGAGCAGAAAGTAGGGCAGGACTCTTGCCCAGAGTGAGTCCTAACACTCCACATCAGCTGTTCTCTACTCATTCTGTAGGTTTGGAGTTAGGGCCAATCTACGTACAAAGCTGTAGTGCTTTAACTAACGGAGCAATTTAATACCAGTTTAATTAAAACAGTACAACTTTGTGTGGCTATTCTGAGACTGGTTTAAACCTGATTAATATTGGTAAATTTACAGGCACGAGCTATCCTCATATAAACACTTAAGCATGCAGCTATAGCAATTTGTATTGGGGTTGTACCAGTTTAACTAGGTATACAGATCTAGTTAAACTGGTGCAAATCAGTGTGCAGTCAAGCCCTAGCAGGGATACGGCAGGCTCACCTGTATGTTGGAGCAAGGAAGAGAACTGGTGCATCTGGCTGGAAAGCATCCCTAGATGAGTCATGCTACTGCCCTTTGCAGAATTAAGAAGGATGTAAAGGGGGATCTGGATCTGGTGGGGTGTGGCGGTGATACAGTGGGGGGGGGGCGGGGACTGAGAAGTTCATTTGTCTCAGGTTTATACACCACAAAGCCCACTATCAGTAAAAAAAAAGTTCAAGATGCTTCTTATGCAAACAGCTTAAATATGCAGGCTAATATTTAAAAAACAAAAAATGTCTCTGGCATGCTCCCTAGAGAGGAGAATGGAAAGTACACTTGCCATGCTTTATCCCTGCAGGAAAACTATTTTAATAGTTTTATTGTCACTCAATATACAACAGTTTAATTCAATGTTGTCCACTTGTACAAATGTGTGGAACACAACTTTCTGACAAATATAAGGTTTTTCAACGGTATCTGGTTTGCTTAGTGGGGAAAAGAACCCGTAATTATCTTCCTGGGTATTATTACAATGTCAGTCATTTACTCTCGTCTTGCATTCTGTTCGTGCACTTTATTCATTTAACAATATGTAGTAATTTGAAAATTATAAAGCTAGTGAGCTGACAAAAGGAAGGAATAAACCTGTTAATTTATCAGTTAATACTCAATATAATCCAAAATACACCTCTACCTCGATATAACGCTGTCCTCGGGAGCCAAAAAAATCTTACTGCGTTATAGGTGAAACCGCGTTATATCAAACTTACTTTGATCCACCGGAGTGCGCAGCCCCCGCCCCCCCGCCCACCCCCGGAGCACTGCTTTACTGTGTTATATCCGAATTCGTGTTATAGCAGGTCGCATTATATCAGGGTAGAGGTGTACTTAGATCTCCACTGCCTACTATAATGTGACTATCATGATTCTTGATAGGCTTGATAATAAACACAGAAGGAAACTTACTAGTCTTTGTGAATGTGTCCTTTACCATCTGGATCAAACATTCTGAATGCATTTAGTATGGTCTCTTCCCCATCCATACCTGCAGAAAATAACACGCCAGTGTGTCTCAGCTGATAACACACTTCCCCCTGGTTGGAATCTTTCACAAGAACAGTACTCAGGCACAGTAGTACAATGGTTCTATGGTACTGGAAGTGCTGTCTCTACACGTAACAGCATTTGATAGCTATAGAGGTGTGCTTGAGGAGGAAAAAATGAGAGAACGTATTTGGATTCTGTTGGAATAAATGGAGCTGACTGAGCAATTTTAAGGGGGAGTGAAAATTTTAAGACTTTTTTAAAAGAGAGGGTGAGACTGCCTCTTTTCAATATGTGTGTATACCTCCTCTTTGAGACATCAAATGGAGGTCACCTTTTCATTTCTGATGTCTGCTCAGATGTGAATTAGTCTAGGGTCCTTTAAGAAATGACATGTTTTAGTGGTCAATCTGACTTCACTGAATTATAGCCGGCTCTGCAATATCAGGCAATAGTATAATTTGCAGCCAGGGAACGATATACTTACATTGTTATTTTGAAAATCGGTCTGAAATCCTAAGAAATATGAGACAATTCTATTGTGTAAATTGATAATAAAAAGAATTAAAATTAGAGTTGCAAGGCCAAATTTAAAAAAAAAAATAGGTAGCTAAAATAGCCTCAAGTCCATCGTTAGCTGTCTAAATAATTGGTTAGATATTTCTAAAGTGCTGAGAAGCCAGCTGCTGTTATATATTTCTGTATAGCTGTTGTATTGGTGGAAAGTGTGGTGCGGGGAGGAGGGCCTGACAGGCTTTATGAAGTCCCCAGGAAACAGAGCGGAGTGGCAGCCAAGAAACAACAATGGGGATAGATGGGTCTGCTCTGGAGAGAGTTTTGCATGGCAAGGCAGTTTAGGGAGAAGTTCGATCCATCCCTATAGCTGGGCAAGCTCTGCCAGGGTCTCGAAATGGCATTACAAGTTTCACAGAGAGATTTCTCTGCAGGCAGTGTAAAAACAAAACCTTAAAGAATTACTAGCAAAAAGTGGAGCTCATGTTTGAACACTATCTCTAGCAGATGTCAGCTGGACCACGTCAATGTTAATCCCTAATTTCATTTTCAAATACATGTCATAATTGCCATGGAGTAAGGACTTACTCTTGCTACGTGCCTAGACATTTTAATTGACAAATACCTATTGACGTCTCTGATGCAGGGGAGCTTTGACTATCATTCAGAATTACCAACCTTAAGAATGTTCTATGAGCAGTAAAGTTGAAGTAAATGATTAAAGCCTTTTCAAAAAAGGAACTGGACATATGGGACGTTCAGATTAAGGCTTGGTCTACTGCACTACACAGTTCAGTTGATGTAAGGGGGGAGGGATAGCTCAGTGGGTTGAGCATTGGCCTGCTAAACGCAGGGTTGTAAGTTCAATCCTTGAGGGGGCCACTTAGGGATCTGGGGCAAAATCAGTACTTGGTCCTACTAGTGAAGGCAGGGGGCTGGACTCGATGACCTTTCAGGGTCCCTTCCAGTTCTAGGAGATGGGATATCTCCATTAATTTAATTTAAGGCAGCTTCCGTCGACCTAATTACATCAGTGTACACATTACAGCCTTGTCCGGCCGAGGTAAGTGCCCTACTGCACTGACATAACTCCACCGCCACGAAAGGCACAGAGCTCATGTCCGTACAGTTACACTGCCTTATTCACATGAGCTGTTGGCTGTCCTGTCAATCTCATGGCGCCATGGCCATGACATTGACAAGAAAGCCGGGTAGCTATAGCCCAGCTGCCCCCAGCTGGCTGTGCCTGCCCCGCTCCCTGCTCAGGGAGCTGTTCCCGGTTCCCAGAGGGGAGTAGAGAAGCCCAGGCAGCTGCCCCCATCCCCAGCTGGAAGTGGGGAGCTGAGAGCCCAAGGGACAGCTGGACTCCTGTCGGGGAACTGTGCAGAGCTGAGCCCTGGCTCTCAGCTCCCCACACTGCCCCTCTTCGGTCGGTGGAAGTGCTCCTGGTGAGGATGCGGCGACTCTAAGTCTACCTGACATTGACATACGTCTTTTATTATACACATGCCCTAAGGAACTTCTCAATAACGGTCTATATAGACCAGGGGTGGGCAACCTACAGCCCGTGAGCTCCCGCTGGGGAGCGGGGTCTGGGGCTTGCCCCGCTCCAGCCGGGGCGCTGGGTCGGGGGCTGCACCACGCGACTCGGCCCCGCCCTGGCGCTCCAGACGGGGCGCAGGGTTGGAGGCTGCACCACGTGGCTCCCAGAAGCCACGGCATGGCCCCGCTCCGGCTCCTACATGCTCCAATGGGAGCTGCAGGGGCGGTGCCTGTGGATGGGGCAGCATGCAGAGCTGCCTGGCTGTGCCTCCGCATAGGAGCCAGAGAGGGGACATGCCACTGCTTCCGGGAGCCACTTGAGGTAAGCACCACTCAGAGCCTGCACCTCTCCCCACGCCTCAACCCTGATCCCCCTCCTGCTCTCCAAACCCCTCGATCCCAGCCTGGAGCACTCTCCTACACCCCAAACTCCTCATTCCCAGCCCCACCCCAGAGCCCGCATCCCCTCCCAAACTCCTCATTCCCAGCCCCACCCCAGAGCCCACATCCCCTCCCACACCCCAATTTTGTGAGCATTCATGGACCACCATACAATTTCTATTCCCAGATGTGGCCCTCAGACCAAAAAGTTTGCCCGTCCCTGATATAGGTAGTATTAAACTCACCAAGTAACTTTGCTCCAAAGAGATTCAAAAACATTGTGAAATTAATGGGTCCAGTGGCTTCCTTGAGCATGGATTCTAGCTCCTCATCTTTTACATTTGTTTTACCTAAATTAAAGGAAAAGGTCTTTCAGTGTACAAATACCCATACTATTTAGAGTTATAATAGACAAAGCACCTATCTTTGGTTCTAGGCACCTTTACTAACGTACTAGCTGTATGATTGCCCCCCAAAATACCTGAACCATTTCAATACAGCTTTCCATTTATTTTCTTCATTTTGCTTTGTAACTTTCTACAATTCTTTAAATAGAATCCCCTCTTTAAATGACTTTTAGAACCATAGCACTTCTAATGCTCTACAAAGTCAGTCTTGGCCAAATGAAGGGAATCTTTGTAGTGGGTGGGGGATGGACTTCAATAGCTGTAGTTGGCTTCTGAAAAGAAGATCTGCAAAAATCTGTCAAAAGGAGTTGATAAAGCTGTATGGCTGTACAAATCACTCCTTCCAATTACAGGATAATTATGGGGAAAATGTATACATGAGGCACCACTAATGGAGGCGTGACCACCAACCAGACCTGCAGGTGTAAACTAGAAAAAAACAGAAGAGGCTTAAAGGGAGAGCATGCAAAATGGACTGGTTTTAGGTAATACATGCTTGCAAGTTTCATAAGACTTTCCTCCTTACAGCAGATGGCTCTTTAATCTAGCAGAAAAATCGTTGGAAACTGAAGCTAGACAAATTTAGAAGATGCAATATTTTTTGCCAGTGAGGGTAATTACCCATTGGAACAACTTAGGTAGTGATACAGTGGATTCTCCATCACTTGCAGTCTTCAAATCAAGATTGGATAGCTTTCTAGAAGAGATGCTATAGCTCAACCAGAAGTTATGGGCTTTATGCAGGAATCACTGGGTGAGGTTCTGTAGCCTGTGTCATGCAAGAAATCAGACCAGATGATCACAGCTGTCCCTTCTGGTCGTAAAATATATTAATTTACTCTTTTTTAAATGGCAGGTTTCTAAGGTTGGGTTAGTGGAGCTCAAATATTATTGAAAATGTGGGAGTTATAGTCCTAAAATACTTCAACACTTTAAAAATAAACCTTCAATTTTCTGCACTAATAGTGTGACACTAGCATAATCCTGATACAGTGTTTGGAGAAATTACTGTAGAATACTGTACTGTATTTTTATCTGGAAAAATACCATGCGCCATTTGCATCAGGATGCTTCCCTCCTATTTACTGTCTAAAAGATCTCATACTGAGAGAAATTAGGCCTGGCTCTCGACTTTAAAACCATAAAGTTCAAGGTTGTTTGAGTTCTGGGGGGCTGATTTGGCCTAATAGAGAGAGGAGCAAACTGCGAAATTGGAATTCAGTTTACAATCCCACCTGCTTCCAAAGTTAAAAGGGGTTGGGTCTGTGGAACTCTGGTTATATTCTGTCTCTATTAGGTCTACAAATTCAAATATTTACAGTGTTAAATAATCCACCACTTGGCACTTACAACTACGAGTTTAAAGTGAGTAAGTATACATTAGCAAAGTATATCTCTGCTCTAGTGTACTTACCCAAAGAAGCATAGATGTCTTTCAGGTCTTCTTTATCTATAAATCCATCTCTGTTCTGATCAATTAATGTGAAAGCCTACATGACAGAATGAATATACGTATAATATATTCATGTTTTTATCAGCTGTAGCTTTAGAAAAGCTTCATGTATACCTGTGTTCAATACAAGTTTGAATTGAGAGGGAACTGTATTTCCCTATTTTTTTTACAGTAAATACACATTCTTTAGTAAAAAGTTACATGAAAAATGTGTATGTCCAGCCTGTTAAGCTTTTACTTGTCATATTTCAGTTTTTCATTTCATTACTTACTAAAAAGTGATGGTTTGGTTTTGTCTCTTAATCATACTTTAAACTGCAAATCCCTCTCTTTCTTTTAATAAGAAGTGTAAAGTGAGTATGAATTCTTTTTAAAACAACTCTTATACTAGGGTGCTGAATATTTTCCAGAACAATATTACTCAACTTTGAATTGCTGATCATTGAACAGACTCCGAGAACCAGAAGACAGTCACACTGATGTTTAGACATTGTGTTTTGTTGTTGCATCTCAGCATCATTGCATAGTAATACAACAATGTGACACAAATATTATATTCTGAGTCTGTTCACTCAGATTATATTGTGACTATGACTCTATTTAACACTCTTTCCTGTTCCTTAACTTTTTCTTGTTGCTGGCAGTGAGGAGGTGCACGCGACACCTGTTTCTTGGCTTGTCTGCCTTTCCCCACTCCATATTTGCTTGCTGAGCACGGTGTGTAACACAGGGGTAGGCAACCTATGGCACGTGTGCCAAAGGCGGCACGCGAGCAGATTTTCAGTGGCACTCACACTGCCCGGGTCCTGGCCACCAATCCGGGGGGCTCTGCATTTTAATTTAATTTTAAATGAAGCTTCTTAAACATTTTAAAAACCTTATTTACTTTACATACAACAATAGTTTAGTTATATATTATAGACTTAGAGAAAGAGACCTTCTAAAAACGTTAAAATGTATTACTGGCACGCAAAACTTTAAATTAGAGTGAATAAATGAAGACTCGGTACACCACTTCTGAAAGGTTGCCGACCCCTGGTGTAACATGTCAGGTACCATGTGTAAGGTACCATAGAAAATCCTTTGTGATTGATCTGTGCTCTGGTTGTTCTGGTGGAGATAAGACAGCACAAGACTACTCCCAACCAAGAGCTAAGTGCATTGCTGAAGCCATAGATTAAGTACCACTGCACACGATATGAACTGTTGCTTTGGCAGAGACAAAGACGCGGGATATCCTCATATTATGTGGAGAGGGGTCTGAACCAAAGGCACAGACCAGAATCCATCCCATCCTGTTTAACTCTAAGTCATGAATGTGCTTTATATAACAAGCTGGCTAGAACCCCATTTCTGAACATGTACAACCTTTGAGAGGTTCAGGTCCCAATTCTGTACCTGTGACCTGTCCCTAATTATATGTAACCAACCATATATATGCAGAGAGAGAGAGAGAGAGACATATCTCTCATATGGTCCTAACTCTGTCCCTGTGACCTGTCTCATTCAAATATATATATATACATATATATATGCGCCTCCTATATTGTCTTACTTCCTTAAATTCTTGGATCTGTGTCTGCTCAAAGTTGGAGAAGACATTAGAAGACGCTCTCTGAGCACGTTTGGCACCACCTTCCTTCTTTTTGGTTTTTCTGCTAGCCTGAAAAGAGATGAAAGAATAACTTTGATCTACACTGGGAAAGAATAATTTACTCCATTGTTCTTCTGAAATACACACTTCAATTAATACTTGAAGATCAGCAAAACATAAGTTAAAACTTTCTTTCTTTGCTAAAATACAACTCTTAAATATTCATACTTTAGATTTCAAAATTACTGCAAACACAATGCACTCCTTCAAACCATAGTCCTTTTCCTAGGAGTATCATGCAGATAAATGCCCTGGTCTCCCACCTGAACGATGGTTTCCCACAAGGGTTGAACTTACCATCGTTACTGGAGAGAGCTGCTGTGCCTTGCTGTCTTTGGGAATCTTACTTTATAAAGTGCCTCTCCTAGGGAGGGGAGGGGTTCATCTTTGCAGCTAGCATGTCCCAAAGGAGATGTCAAACTTCTGGCTCACAAGACCTGCTCCATACATGGACAGACTTCCAACATATCCCCTGGTCTCTAGTGGATAAACAACTGTTGCTTATACTTGAAATCTCCTTAAGTGATCTGCTGTCTAGCTTACTGGTGATGAGCTAAAATAGTGATGGTAGCACACTATGATGTTACTATACATAACACTGCATAGCAGCTGTACTCAGTAATGGTAAATTTCTCTGGATTCTCCTAAATGTATGTCTCTCTTAATTGCAGAGATATGGGACTTAAAAGACTTTAAAAATAATTATTTTGGAAAAATGTTACCCTTTTCCTCCTTCAGATGTATTGCATTCTTTATCTTTTGAATGGTTTATTTACAGATACAGCAAGTTGCTGCGGGTGCTATCAGAAACAAATAATCACGTCATGCCATACACCTTCAATGAGGACTTTTATTTTTGAAGAACTTAATTGTTGTTTGAGTCCTGACTTTTTGATGGGGGAGTTTCCTGCAAATTAAGCCTTTCTCCCTACCAAGCTACATGCAGACCTCTCGACACAGAGCACACAATGCTCACATGTCCCTCCAAGAGCCCATTCCACCTGCTCCAACCATATTTTTGAAGGCGCCGCTCCCATTTCTCTCATATAACTAATATATCGGTACACAAAATACATACCAATTGTATAAATACAACACGCAAATATACAAATGATCTTAAGATATTCAGAATTATAACTAAATGTAAACTTTATAACTTCATTTCTAGCACTACCCTTGATGCTCAAAAATATAGTACTGTCATTAAAAAACAGGCTCTGACAATTTCAGTCATAGCTCCATGCGAGGTTAGTGTGTTTTGTGAAACGACTTCAAAGTGAGAAATAAAAGAATCATGACTGCAACTGAACTGATCCTTTCATAAAAGATAAATGCAATTCACATTTCCAAGCTTTTTGAGTGAACTCAGCCTAGTGTGAAATTACCTGTGAAATGTCAGTTAATTAAATGAATTTCATTTTATATTAGCATTAGTTAGCATTCACAACACTCTGGAAATCAAAATAGTGCATCAACTCTATGCATGCAAATATCTAAAAGTGAGGGAAATCATTAAATGACTGGTTAGAGAGTTATCCATGTCCTCTCACTACAGTGGGTGCTTTGTGGGATATTTTTATACATAACTTGACCTTTGCCTAATTTTGCCAGTAACTTTATTTTTACTGGAAACTTAGTATTGATATTTATTGGGGGGGAAAGAATAGTGCTCTGTTCTCAAGATATCAGTAAAGCTATATAGCTCTGACTATTAAATATTTTGTCAGTAGGTTTTAAAAGCAGTACTGTGATTATTAGTATTTCTCATGTTCTGCAAGGCCCCTGCCTCTGCGGCAGTGCAGTTCCATTGTTCCATAGAGGGGGTGGATTCTAAAGGCCATCCGATGAAGTGGGCGTTAGCCCACGAAAGCTTATGCTCAAATACATTTGTTAGTCTCTAAGGTGCCACAAGTACTCCTGTTCTTTTTGCTGATACAGACTAACATGGCTGCCACTCTGAATCTTGTGGAATTGAGTCAGCTAGAGGCTTCATGTGCATGATCACTCAGGATGGGATGTTTGAGGGTGGTGGGGTGACAGGATTGGTTTCTGTGTGTATGCCCCACAGCTCTTGTCTCGAGGAGGGCTGAAGTAGCCTCCCCTAGCAGCTCTGCAGACTTGTGACAGGGACAAGCTCCCCTTTTCCCCACATGACTCCCCTGCAGCCAGGCTGGTTCATGGACTGAGAATTGCCTCCCAAGAGCATAGGAGAAAAACACAAGTTGAATTTTACCGAAGTTGCAGTACATCCAGGGTACAGTTTATAACAGGACATTCTAAGCTGTGTATATTGTGAAGAACAGAGGTATTGCCATACAGTAACAGATCAATTGTCCAGCTAGCCCATTATTTTTCAGTGATTTATGGCAGAGCATCAGAGAAAGATGTGTTGTTGTGCTTTCATTTAACTACATAATCTATTCCACAGGGGGGAATATTTCTTCTTGAGCCTAGCTAGTGACCAGTTTATGCCTTGATGCATTGAGAGCTCTTTGATTTGATAATCTAGTTTATATAGCTGCAGATGCCATTCCTATTTATAAAAATATCTAATCTTTTAAAAGTTTTGTTGCAACAATACTGACAGAGGGTTTCATGGCTTAATTCTACATTATGTGTAGCAGTCATTCCTTTTATCCCTTCTAAACTCGTTGCGCTTTAATTTCATCAAGTACCATTTTGTTCTTGTTTTATGGGACAGAAGTAGGAAATGCTGAGCCTGATTCTCCATTGGCCTGAAGCTGTTTGTCATCTACACCAGTGCTCCATGAGAATGACTACACAAGGGTGCAGTACAATAGAAAATCAGGTCTGCTGCCACCACCATGGGAAAATGCAGCTGCTCCCTTGAGGTTTTGTTCACCGTTGAATTATCTTCAAAAGTGAGCCAGGAACTATGTAAATAACATACATTGCCCCCCTACACACACAAATAGGTTGCAAATTTCTGTTATGCAAAAATGTGATTTGACGCCTCCATTTTAAACTCAGGTTAGTTTAAATAAACATAAGTAAAAGAAGTTTAGAAAAAACAGCTTGAACTTCCAGCCAGGTTGAAGACATAAGCTTACAAAGGGGAAGAAATGTTATGTGTGGTATGGTTAACTTGTGCTGTATTGAAGATGGGAACTCTAATAGGCAGGACTCCAATAGTGCCTCACAGCGAAGGGCTAATTCATTCTTATTCTGTTTAATTGACTTTCACAACCCATTGCACAGAAAATATTAAAATGATTCTAGCCGTGGTCTGAAAAAGGCAAACAAAAAGGCATAAAGAGGATTTTAAAATATAATTCCAGCACGCATTAGAGCCTCTTGAAACAATCTAGAATTAAGTTGTAGAGATAAATGCATAATTGTAGGGGTTTTGTATATTTTAATATAGCTATCTGAACATTTCCCTAGAAATCACAGGATAAAGCTTTTTAAAATGCAAATATAAACTATCCAAAGTAACTGTTAATGAGAGACATTTTGCTTTTATCTGTACTTAATTAACATAATTAGTATGAAATTGTGCAAGGAACTATGTAATCAGTCTAGCTTTCCCTCAAGCTATTCTAAGAATGTATAGTAAGATGATTTTTAAGAGTCCTTTATTTAAAAATAGTTTCTTACATTGGATCAGCAGGAAGCATGGAATGGCAAAATCTAAAGATAACACACCAGTCCTTAAACTAGGGCCCTCAGAGACTATCAGAATACAGCATAATTAGCAAATGTGCTTGCAGCTGCCTCTGCTACTAAGAGATGAGATGAGAGACTGCTTCTTTCACAGATAATGTGGAGTGCTAAGACACAAAAAAGTTTCTAATATACTATACTTTCTTATAATACACATGTGCCTTCCACCATATGTAAGTTATACTTCAATTCTGCAATGGACTCTAGTACCACAGGTGTTTATATTCTTGAGGAATCCATTAACATTAATGATATCCTGTCCAGCCATGCTGGTTTGTGTTAGTTGTTCACAGTGCAGGAGTAGGCACCAATGGGAAACACTTGTAAACATGTTTTGTTTGTCATTTAAATAAAAATGTCTGTAGATGGATTTCATACAGTACTTCTTCTTCAAGTTGGAGACAATACATTCAGTTTCATTCTTTTCTGATTTTCTTGCTCATCTGCACCTCTAGATTCAATGGCATTTGGAATAGAGCTTAACTGTTTTAGCCTGTCATCACACCTTTGGTAATTCAAGCTAAGAGAGCTGCTGCAGGAACAGGTTTTATATATTTATTTTATTTTTATTTTTTAAAAAGTTACCTAGAATTTCTTTCATATGGAATAAAAGGAGTTTAGAGGTAAATAGAAATAAATGAATAAAAAATACCTGTTGATTGTTACTACATGAGGCCACCATTTCTGTAATAACAACAAGGAGTCTGGTGGCACCTTAAAGACTAACAGATTTATTTGGGCATAAGCTTTCGTGAGTAAAAACCTCACTTCTTCGGATGACTCCTTGTTGTTTTTGTAGATACAGACTAACACGGCTACCCCCTGATACTTGACATTTCTGTAATGTAATTTCTCAGCCATTTTGCAGGCGCAGTTCTGGAAATCTGGTGATTTTATGTGATGCGATACCCTTCTGTGTATAGGTGATGAATATACCTTTCCTTATTTGCACACACCACGAAGTAAGTGGGTTGTAACCCACACAGGGTTCAGGACCCTGCACTCCGTGTCCTTGGCGCACACACACCATCTGACAGATGCAAGCCCTCTGTTGTTTTCCCTGCACAGAAGAGGTGCTCAGGGGAGTGACTGATAAGCAATGCAGAGGTGGCCACTGCCTCCATGGGATTCAGGGCCTGGGTAAAATGTGCTAAACGGCAGAGATGTCTGCAAGGCCAGTGCTCAAAACTGCTGTGTGACACATATGTGGAGGCATGAGAGATCTTGGGTGTGGGTGTGTGATGTGCAAGCGTCGGGGGGTGTTGTGTTGGGGTGGGACTCTGGTGTGCGTGTGGCAAGGGTGTGAGGTGTGTGTGTATCAGTTGCATGTGTAAGTCTGTCCGGGTGGGGTGTCAGGGGAGGCAGGGCTAGCCCTACCATGAGGCAAACTGAGGCGGCCGCCTCAGGTGCCAGACTGGGGGGGGGGCACTAGGACCCAGAGTGTAAAAAATTGTGTCTGTTACTGGTGCATATGTATTCTCTCTGCTCTAGATGCACAGAGATGGTGGAGTGCTGTGTTGGTGGATGGAGGACAAGAGACATAACAGGCAGGCAGGAGAAAAGGTGAGAGAGAATAACAGAAAGCAGCAGGAGCTGCAGGGAGAGAGAGGAGGATGAGCCTCTTATGTACCTCTCTAGGAACCCCCAGGAGCCTGGACTGATTAACACCAGCTTCTCAGGGAGCTTCCTGTTTCCTGCTGCTTCCCTGAACCCACTTGAGGAGAACAGGCAGTCAACTGAAGTAGTAGGAGATAGTTAGGCCCTTAAGACACTGATCTCTTCCCTCACTCAGTCCCTGCTACCAGCCTGCTTATTTGTCCCCTTCAATGAGTGTTGAGAGCCACTATAGCTGGCACAGAACAGCAGTCATGAGTGAAAGAAGAAAATGCCCCTCTGGGGCAGTATTCAGAAAAAGAAAGAAAGCACAGGAAGCTTTTCTATCTAAGCAGGAAGGAGCTCTCCTGAGATACATAGACACAAATGTTCACAGTGGAGAGGCTATGGCTTATGTACTCAAAAACCAAGAATGCTGCGTACTGTTTTTGTTGCAAACTCTTCCAATCTAATGTTCCAGCCACATTGGGTTCTACAGGAACAAAGGACTGGAAAAATCTGGCTAGAAATCTGTCATGCCATGAGAAGGCAGCAAATCACCAGAGAGCATTCCATAGGTGGAAAGAGCTTGAGATGAGACTAAGGTTAAACGCCACCATAGATGATCATCATCAAGAGAAGATTGCATCAGAGTCTCTTTACTGGCAAAATGTTCCGAAAAGGCTCATTGCCATTGTGAGAATGCTTGCTACCCAAAACCTAGCACTGCGTGGCACTTGTATGTGCCAAACAATGGAAACTTCCTTAAAATTGTGGAGCTGATGGCTGAGTTTGATGCTGTACTCCAGGAGCATCTAAGAAGAGTCCCCACCCAAGAAATGTACACACACACCCAAGAAATGTACACACACCACTACCTTGGAAAAACGATTCAAAATGAGATCATATAGTTACTGGCAACAAAAGTCAAACAGAAGATTTCAGATCTGAAGTTAGTAAGATATTACTCTGTTATTCTGGACTGCACACCTGACATCAGCCATACGGAACACATTACTTTAATGGTGCGTTTTCTAACAACAACGGAACCTAGTGAAAATGTCCCTGCAATGGTGACTGTCAGAAAGCATTTTCTAGAATGTATTGACATTGATGATACTACAGGAGCTGGTATGACAACTGTGCTTCTTAAAAAGCTGGAAGATACAGGAGTTGCGATAGCTGACATGAGAGGTCAGGGCTACGATAATGGTGCCAACATGAGAGGAAAGAACAGAGGAGTGCAGACACGGATCCGAGAGTTAAACCCTCGAGCTTTTTTTGTCCCAGTTCTCATTCATTGAACTTGGTGGTCAGTGATGCAGCATCAGCTTCTAGTGAGGCTGCTGAATTTTTTAATGTAATTCAAAGCATCTATGTATTTTTCTCTGCATCATCTCATCGATGGCAAATTTGAAGCAACATCTGGGAACATCCTCTCTGACACTGAAACCATTGAGTGCCACACGATGGGAAAGTCGAGTGGAGGCGATAAAGCCTATCAAACACCAAATTGGGAAGATAGATGATGCCATAGTTGGCATTATGGAGAATAATGCTATGACAGGAACTGTTCGTAGGAGAACAGTGGCAGAGGGAAATGGAATCACCAGAAATATACATAACTTCAAATTTCTGTGTGGCTTAGTGTTGTGGCATGACATACTGTTTGAAATAAACATTGTAAGCAAGAGACTCCAAGGTGTTGACCTTGATATATCTGGAGCAATGGAACAACTGGACAAAGCAAAGTCACACCTACAGTCTTACCGGTCAGATGACGGATTTCAAAACGTTCTGAAGAGTGCACAGAAGTTAGCAGAGGAACTTCACACTGAAGCTATTTTCCCACCCATTTAAGAATACAAGAGTCACCGAAGAAGACATTTTGATTACGAGGCATGGGATAATCCCATAAGAGACCCCAAACAACAATTCAAAGTTGAATTCTTTAACCAGGTGCTAGATTGTGCAATACAGTCAGTTGAAGAACGTTTCATGCAGCTCAAGGAACACAGCAGTATATTTGGGATGTTGTATGATACTCCAAAACTCCTCACTATACCTGAAGAAGACCTACACCAGCAATGCAGGGCACTAGAGACCGTGTTAACACATGATGGCATGCGTGATATTGATGCGAGTGATTTAGGTGATGAACTGATACATTTCAGCAGGATCAACTCCAAAGGCTGTTCTGGAATACATGTCCACAAATAAGATGACCACCTTCTTTCCAAATGCTTGTGTTGCACTGCACATACTTCTAACACTTCCTGTAACAGGTGCCAGTGGAGAACGCAGCTTCTCCAAGCTGAAGTTAATAAAAACACATCTACGCTCCGCAATGACACAGGAGAGGCTGGTCGGCCTTGCAACCACCTCAACAGAGCATGAGCTGGCCCAGACTGTGGACCTTCAGGAAGCAGTTCAAATCTCTGCAACCAAGACGGCCCGGAAAGCACCACTTTGATTATTCAAACAGATACAAATGCCAGAGTTTACTATGCAGCCAAGGAAAGTGACATTTGCTGGTTGGGCGTTTGAAAGTTCAGTGTTACTTCTAGGGTTACCATATTTTGAGCCTCCAAAAGGAGGACACTCCACGGGGCCCTGGCCCCGCCCCAACCCCGCCCCTTCCCCAAAGTCCCCGCCCCAACTCCGCCCCCTCCCCTGCTTCCCGCGAACATTTGATTCGCGGGAAGCCTGAAGCGGGTAAGGAGGGTGTGGGGGGAGGAGGCGCGGCCCAGTCTGGCCCCCCCCGGTGTCTCCAGCCTGGGTCGGCTCGGGCTCTGGGGAGCCTGCCCTGGGCCAGCCCCCGGCCTGCCCAGCACTGCCGGTCTCCGGCCCCCGGGCCCCTGGCCAAGCACCCCCGGCCCACCCAGCACTGCCGGTCCCCGGCCCAGCCCCCCGCCCCGCACCCCCCGGCCCCCGCCCCCCGCCCGGCCCCGCCCGCCCCGCCCCTGGCTTGGCACCGCCGGCCCGGTCCCCGGCCCTGCCCCGCACCGCCGGCCCCCAGCCCCGGCTCAGCACCGACGGCCCCGCATGTCCCGATTTTCCCGGACGTGTCCGGCTTTTTGGGATTTCCCCCCGGACGGGGATTTGGAGCCCAAAAAGCCAGACATGTCCGGGAAAATCCGGAGGTATGGTAACCCTAGTTACTTCACATTTCTGAACAAGGCACTTTAAGTTGTTTGTTCTCCGCTACTGGGGTAGGCAGCGGAGCAGAGCGGGAAGAAGGCAGACTTGAGACCTTCCAACGTTTAGGCCCAAGCGAGGGGGCCTCGGGGCCTCAGTTGAGCTCCCCCCTCAGGTGCCAAAATGGTGTCGGCCAGCCCTGAGGGCAAGTCTCGGGGGACGGGGTTGTGGCCTCACTAACGTTACTCGTGCGCGCTGCGCGCGGCTAACGGCTCTGCCCGCGGGGCGGGGCTGGGCGGGGCGCTCGCTCTGCCAGGCTGCCCCGCCCCCGCTCTGGGCGGCTCTCCCCGCCAAACGCAGGGGAAGGGGCGGGGCGTGGTTCCCGCCTCGTTGTGAGAGGCTGGGGGCGGGGCTAGGCAGACTGACAGGGCGCCGCTCTTCACCCGCTCCAAGAAGGGAGCGTTGTCATCACCCTCGCTCCCAGCAACCCCTGCGACATGGAGCCGCGGGATCACCGCGCGCGCGCCCTTCTCCGGCACGCGCACGCACACACTCGTCCGGCTCCACGTTCCCATAATTCTGCGCGGGGGTGGGCTCTCTTTTCGCGTCATTTCCGACTCCTTCCGGTTTCGCCGAGATGGTGCCCCCGGTGCAGGTGTCGCCGCTCATCAAGGTAACGGGGCTGGGGGCGTTGTCCGGGGCTGGAGCCGGGCTCCCCCGGCCCCGCCAGCCCCCTGGGGCGGAGCCGACCCGGGCGCGGGCCGGGCGGGGGAAGGTGACCCCGGGGGAGGTCAGAGCTGGGCCTGGCGGGGATCGGCCCAGACCGGGCTGCGCCGGCCCCTCCCCCGCTGCCGTAGCTCGTGTCTCGGACCCGGCTGCGGGCTCGGGGCCGGGGGCCGGCTCGGGGTGCAGGAAACCCTCCCGAGCCGCGCTGCAAGGCGGGGGCCAGCCCTGTTCCTCCGCCCGGTGGTGGGGGGTGCCTGGGATCTCAGCCCAAGCCCGGGTACCATCCAGCTTGTTCCGCTGTCCTGCAGCCTCCCTCTGTATGCCAAGTACAGTATTTCCTCCCTCCCTTCCTTCCGCAGTTCACCAGGTACTCGGCGCTGCTGGTTGGGATGCTCTACGGGAAGAAGCGATATGGTAAGGGCCGAAACTGCATTTATGGCTGCAGGAGAAACTAGTAAATTTAAAAGCAGCAAAGAGTCTTGTGGCACCTTATAGACTCACAGACGTATTGGAGCATAAGCTTTCGTGGGTGAATGCCCACTTTGTCGGATGCATCAAAAAGAAGTGAGCATTCACCCACGAAAGCTCATGTTCCTATACGTCTGTTAGTCTATAAGGTGCCACAGGACTCTTTGGTGCTTTTACAGATCCAGACTAACACGGCTACCCCTTTGATATTAAATTTAACTCACTGGCCACTAATAGCTAAGACCTTACTATAGTCTGGTGCCCTGTGATGTATAGGTCAGGCTAGATGGTGTGCTAGTCCCTTCTGGCCTTAAACTCTGTGACTGTCTGTTTTGACCGATCAGTTCCTACTGTAATTAGCAGAATAAGACACAAGTCTGTGTGTTCATTTCTTTGCAGTGTTGATCCCAGATGAGAGAGACAAGATGGGTGAGAGAATATATTTTATTGGACAAACTTCTGTTGGTGATATAGACAAGCTTTTGAGCTACTCAGTGCTCTTTTTCAGTGACCTGAAGTTGGTCCAATAAAGAGATTACTCCATCCACCTTTTCTTTTCAGCTTGAATGTAAAAACAGTTTATTACCATTACTTTTGTTACAAAATAAACTTTGAAATGATGTAAGTTATCAGTCGGATGTTTGAGTCTTTATTGAGGCTGGTGTGTTTGGGTTAATGTTGGCTAAATCCAGTCAATAGAAAAAGGATTAGGTATAATTAAATATTGGTAATTTGTCTACTTAGTTTGATGTCTTGAATAGTAAAGTGATCACACGTGAGGATATACAAAAAATTAAGCTTTTAATTATATATTTTGTGTGGCACCTTGAAATTGGTCAGCGTGTTGTCTGGCATGTACATAAAGTTCTCGTTAGTGTTAAATTTAGGGTCCAAGGTTTGCGTTATCTGAACACAGACATCTAAGGTATGCACTGTCATGGTACTCCATGCTGATTTGAGTTTGTGATGTGTACTGCTGAAGAATGACCTGTCTGAAGGTCAGACAGTAGTTCAAGTATTTGAGGGTCATATCAGTGTGCTTTGACTAAAAGCAGGAATAAGGATTTGTCTACCCACTGATTTAACTAAATGATTTAACTAGTAACAAGATCCAATGGCTGGAAGTTGAAGCTAGACAAACCCAGAATAAAAGATGGCTCCTGCCCCTGGGAGCTTACGATTTAAGTATAAAACACTCAACAGCAGATGATTATACACACAGGCAGGGGAGTAGGAGGAAACAATGAGACAGTATTGGCCAGCTTGATGGGCATCGGTTTGAGCACAACAAGCTTCTTGTAGACATGGCAAAGAAGAGCCTGAAGGAGGAATATGAGGTAGCTTTGAAGTTTTTTTCAGGAAGCTTCTCCCAAGGGCAGTATAGGAGAATAGCACAAAGGTGCTTGTTTGAAAACCTAACTGGTGAGGGAGGCTGTTATCACTGGCCAATCAGAGATTGGCATTTGAGTAACCTGTGCAAAGCAGTCTGCAATAGGGGATTGAACCACTCTGACTAAATCAGTTTTTTATCTTAGTTAAGTCACTGTTTCACAAAAAGAAAGGGAAAATGGAAGAGAATAAGTCGTCAACAGCACTGTTGAGGCTTTGTCTGCCCTAAGTCAGCAGTTCTCAAACCCTTTTTAATGGGCTTGCCAGGGCTGGAATTAGACTTGCTGGGGCCCTAGGCCAAAGCCCGAGCCGGAGGGCTTCAGCCTGGGCAGCAGGGCTCAGGTTACAGCCCCACCCCCACACCCCCCCCCTCGGGGCTGAAGCCCTTTGCCCCAGCCCTTCCCCCCCGCTCTCCCCACACACACACCCGCCTGGGACGGTGGGACTCGGGTGGGCTCAGGCTTTGGTTCCCCTCCTGGGGTTGTATAGTAATTTTTGTTGTCAGAAGGGGGTTGGTTTGTTGCACCAGTATAGCTGATCCAGTATAAACTCCTAGTGTACATATGCTGCACTGATGTAAAGAGTTAATGTAGTTTTACACCAAAGTTTTACATCAGTATAGTATGTCTACACAAGATTTTTGCACTGGTGCAAAGAAGTATACAAGGTCAAAGTCCTTCAGTCTTAGGATGATGAAGCTGCATTAAATGCCTGGGGTAGACCTGAAATACTTGCTTCTTCTTGCAAAAAGTGTTTTCACTTGTGGAAGATGAAATATATTTCTTCACTGACTTGAAGATGCAAAATTCTAAAGTGTTTAGTGATAATTAACTTAAAACTGGAGTCAGTTGTATGCAAATTTTCCAAGTCCTGCTGCCCAAGCGAGATTTTTTTTTTCTTCCCGTTGAGCAGGTAGTTTCTAAAAGTCTTATGTGTAGAGTGCCTTAGATAAAAGGTTATGGATACATAACATTTTTGTTCAATGACAGACTACCTAAAGCCTGTTGCTGAAGAGGAAAGGAGAATAGAGAATGAAGAGAAAAAGAAGCGTGAAGAATTGGAACGAATTGCGAAAGAACTGGCAGAAGGTATTTTTTTAAATATTAGCATACCCTTTCTATGCCCTAAAAGTACCTCAAAAAACACTGTTTGAACATAAATGGTTTTTTTTTTTAAATAAAGAGACACTGTCAAGTGGCTTAGATGAACATGGATGAAAATGTTTTCATATGGCTTTTCATTGAAATGTCTTTATTAAAACTAATACCAGCATGGTAGAAAATACAGACATCATTGTGTTAGTGCATGATTACCAGAAAAAAAACCTATTTTAATATAGTTGTTCAAGCTGAAACACAATGCAAACACTGTGTATAGTACAGTCCTAAACAACAGAAATGGTGACAAACTACCGGTAGTTATTTTCAAGTACTCAATAGTGAGTCTTTATATTACAGGCAAATAGTTTTATAAATCCTATTTAATTTAAAGTAAGGAGAATAAAATATTCAAACTTTGAGTCTTTTCATTGGAAGAAGTCTCTTTGGGAAGATTTTTATTAGAGGACAGGCTGAACTAGATGATGGCAAGATCCTTCTCATTCTGTGTCTGTTTTCACTTCATATTAAGTCTGTACTAATAAGCCCCAGATATTATAGTATCAGCTGAAATTTTGCCCACAAGACTTAACTGTCTTCTCTCATCTATATTATGCCAGCTCAGAATGGGCTCTAAATATTAGGGAGAAGCTGCTAGGTCAGTTTTGACTTATTGGTGTAATAACACAAATTACTTCTCAGGTTCTGGATGTAGAGACAGTAATGGAATGGTTACATAAAATTATTTTTAACACTTGCAGACTCTGTTGGTTGGCCTTGGCTGTGGAACAGCCTACTTAAAAATTAAATTAATGGGACTTGTATGGAATTTTAGGTACACAAAATTTAAATTTGGTTAAAGTGCGTTCCTGGGAGCAGCAACGCCTTCAGAGAGACTGAACATAAATCTTGAAACCTTGCACATTTTATTCATACAGAGGTTACCAGACTTTTTTCTTATGGTAGGGTCCTTCATTTTCATAAAGTATATCATGGATTACGTAACTGAGAATGGGAAGATAGGTAAACTGCTTGCTTCCCATTAACAATTGCCTAACATCCCTGTGGTAAGTAGAACAGTTACTTGCATTAAATACTTACTTTTCCATATATTATTAGCTTCACTGAATGCAGGTTAGCTACTAGAAGTGAAGAGAGTCAGCAGCATGTGGCCCAATTTGCTATGCAGACTACAGTTTGGGAATGTCTGTATTTGAAACTTTGAAACATTAGCAGTGAGTTAACCTGACTCTCTTTATTCCCTTTCAGCCAGTGAGGACTCTATACTGAAATGAACAAATTGCATTGGACCTCATTTTCATCTTCAGCAAAATCTGAAGCCTTGAATTAGCTATGTTAAGTTCATTTAAGCACTATATTTACTGTTTCTGTCAATAAATACTTGTGAACCATATTAATTCATTGATTTTTGCATATACTATACAAAGTACAAGTAAGAGGTATTGATGTAATGTAGGAAGAAGCAGATATTCCCTTGTGTATCTGGTAACAAATCAATAACATCCCTTATGCTAAAGTGACCCCAACATGTCTAAAAATGCAAAGTCACTAATTGTGGCTCTGACTTGATGGGTGAAAGCCAGTTTAACCATGGTTAAAATCATTGCTACAGCATAAGCTTACAACTCCTGTATTTAACCATGTATTCAAATTCAGAACTGCTTTTCCAGTGTCAAACATCAGATTGGACTGCCTGTTGGGGAGAGACAGTTCTCATTACGTTACTGAGTGATGGGTGTTTCTAAAACTGTCTTGAAAATGAGTTTTTTTCTAATGAGTAAATTAAAAGAGACAACATTGTAATGGGCAACAGAGAGTCCTGTGGCACCTTACAGACTAAGATATGTATTGGAGCATAAGCTTTCATGGGTGAATACCCACTTCGTCGGATGCATTCACCCACGAAAGCTTATGCTCCAATACATCTGTTAGTCTATAAGGTGCCACAGGACTCTTAGTCTGGATCTGTAAAAAGCAACAAACATGGCTACCCCTCTGATACATTAACATTGTAATGGGCATATCTTACAGTCTAACTCAGGAAACTTTGCATCTGTAACTGTTATGGACTGAACAGTGTCAACTTGGGGTCTTGTATTCAGTTTCTTTTTACTTTTAATTTTTTCCTAATGGTGGACCTAACTTAACACCTGTAAACACCCAATGGATTAAATGTTTAGCCTAGTGTATAAAGTGTTTAATATTTTCAAGATCACTACCTTTTTTGTAAAACCATATCAGGATTTGATCTAACGTATGGCTATCAGTATAACTACCTATCTCTTAAAGTGAACATCTGATGTTAAACTCTTTTCATGTCAAAAGTTCACCTAATAAAAGATTGAGAGGGTGGTGGGGGCCGGGGAAACAGCTGAAAGGACTTGCCATTTACACTTCAAATCAATTGACATTTAATGCTAATTTACTTTCTGAAAAAGACATGCTTCCAGTGCTGCTGTGAACTATGGAGTGCAGTCACCTTCAGTTTAAAGTATCCGTTTTGGATAGCTAGCACTCTAGTATATCTGTAAGAACAGCCACATAAGGAAATTTGAACATAACTGGGAAATATCAGACTAAATATTGTCTTCAGCACTTTAGCTATCTACTGATGCATATGCATTAATGAATCTGCTAATCACCCTCTTATTCTTGCAGATTCCTGCTTCCTTCACTGCAAGGTGTGGTTAATGTGCTGAGAATAAGGCAACTGAGCAAAATTTAACTTTTGCTGTTAACTCCCTGCCTTTTTTGCTGTACTGTCTCTCTTCTGCAGAGAGGCATTATATTGTTTAGATAACCACTGTAAATGTAGATGAATTCCCTTGCTTTCAATAAACATACATTGAACATATTTAGGCCACAGTGCTGCCTGAATAATCCTATGCTTGTTGAACACAATTTAATAGCAAACTAACACAGAAATAATAGTATGAGTGCCTGTAAACCCAACACTTGTATGTTAGAGCTGTGCTCAGACCACCTTGTCTCAAGACTTAACTCTGTGCCTTTCCCTTTGGGGGCAGGATGTGTTTCCTCTCTTACATGAGGCTAGGGCAGTGTTCCCCAAACTGTGGGGCATGCCGAGGAATGTTCTGGGGGGGTGGCAGGGGCTGGGTGGTGCTCCCTCCCCACTTTCTGCTCTGGCCACGGCCCCACCCCCCAGCAGCTCTGGCCCCAGCCTCTGCCCTCTTACCCCTGTCCATCCCTCCCCCAGGAGCCACAGCCCCGCTCCTGGCCCTGGTTCCTGATCACGGTTCCTGGGGGCGTGTGATGTGAAAAGTTGGGGGAGCACTGAGGTAGGGGAAGAGGGATTTCTGTATCCCATTCTTTGCTGTAGCAAAGGGCAATACCTCTGAGTATGCATTGGGATGGAGCAGAAAGGTAGTGACAGAGTGGGGGAAGATGAGAAAAGAGAGGGGGAGGATTTAGGGGGGGAAATGAGAGTGATGAGAGAAATTGGAAACCTGAATTCCGGGGGCGGGGAAGGGTTACCACAAAATGGGAAGGTGAAAATAAAGGAATAAATATACAAAGCATATACCTTTATAAAAAAAAAAACAAAACCAGCCAGTCTCCTTCACTGGTGTAAATTAGGCATTACTGACATTCAATGAGAATCAGAGATCCTTGTGGACCCAATTCTCCTTTCTCTTCAGTTAGGAGTAGCTACAGATGTAAGTGAGTCACAAGTGTAAAAGCACGGGAGGTGACAAGAGTATCAAGGTGGTATGTTTGTTTATTTTTACAAAAGCTAACAGAACATGACTTAACTATAGTAAATCTCTCATAAAACAGTGACTTGTGCGAAAGGGAGTGGGAGGGGGGGAGTGACCTTGAATAAGAGGAGAGGAGAGCAGGATATCTCCTTACATCCTTCCCCTATCATTTCCTTTGCCGTGTTCTTGTAAGTGTGGCTGCACAGACCAATCTGAAGCCACATGTTAGAATTTGTTTCTCTAATTCAGGTGTCAGCATTTCAGAAGTGTTGGGGAATGCAGGGGTGTCCCAAAGAAACAAGGTGGGTAAGGGAATATATTTTATTGGACCAACTTCTAGATATTCTCTCACCTACCTTGTGTCTCTAATATCCTGGGATCAACACTGCAAACAACAATGGGGGATATTCCAAAACCAGAAAGAGGTCGAATTGTAGCACCTACCCCAAGCTTGATCATATTCTTGTTTTCCATAATTTTGATCAAAATAGGCCTACTTTTTGGTCAGGCAGGTTACATTATGAACAAACTATATTAAAATAATATGAATGTTGCAAAGTCACACACTCAAGGAATGCCAGAATTAAGGTTGCTTTTGCAACTTTAATTTAGCGCCCTTGTGCCTATGCATTGAAACACACTCTCATTACATGATCACATGCTATGTTTTCCCCAGGATCCCCGCCTCATTCCGTGCACAAAACTGATCATGCTCAGGGAATGAGCAGCTTTTCGATATTTTGTTTTATCCTCATCCTGCAATGTGTGGCCCCATGTAGCATTGACTGCATACTATTCAAACCCTGCTACAGAATTATTCTTGTCCTCATGGGTGTTTCTTTGGCTTCAGTGGAGTTGCAATTGTTTAGACCAGATCTGAATTTGGCTCAATTCCTTCAAAAGATAAAGTTTATGGATGTGTGAGAAGGACAGATGATTTAACCGTTCTATTGTTAACACACTCTTGTGCTCTGATTCACTGTTCTAGGTGAAAGCCCACATTCTGAACTCAGCTCTAGGGGCATCAGTGGAATAACTCCATAGCTGTACCAGCGTAACTGAGATCAGAATCTCAGCATAAATGTTTGGATAAAGGGAATCTTTCTCCCTATGAGATGAATGGATCTGACCCTTTTACATATTGCTGACTTGTCCATGTGGTCCTGCAAGATACATTCAAGGAGTTAATTCTGCCTCAATTTACCCAGCATGTAACCTCTGGCTGCACGCTAGGTAAATCACAGTTGAATTGGGCACAAAGTCCGTTCACCATCCATCTGACCCTGTAAATATATGCATGGGGGTTTGGAGTAGGGAAGGGGGAATTCAGACTTCAGGACATATGCTACAGCCATTAGTCATGCAAGTAGATTCATGGGACCAAATTTTGCCCTGTCTTAAACGGTACAACCCAGTGACTTCAGTGGCATTGTATGGAGTGAGAAAGAGGGCAGAATTTGTCTCATTGTCCTCAGTAAGGGTGCTCACATGGGTCCGGTAAACAAAACTAGGCCCTTCCATGGCTAGGTGACGAGCCCAGTTTAGGTAATTAAAGGGTTAAATCAAGAATTGATATTTGTACACTGGAACTTTTTTCTCTTACAAGATCTTTCCCAGGGTGTGTAGTTCATACGCCAGCAGAAATAGGTTTAAATGATACAACAGGTTCTAGATGGGGGAGTTGTTCCTCCATTGCAAGTTGTCATCATAGCGGCTGTATGAGAGGAAACAAGTAATTAGAGATACATTTGCAGCTGCTATAAACCCACTGTAATTTGAAATCCTTTAGTCTTTAACTGAGTCATTTTACATTTTAACCCTTGGAAGGCTCTCAGTGAGGAAGCTGGTATAAATTCCTAGATATTCTGACGTGCTACCAATGTGCTCAGAGCCGTTTTCTACACAAAACAGTTCTTGCTCCAAAATGCTTCAGGATAATGATCTCCCTGACTGCCTTTCTCAAGAGGGCAGTGCCTTGTCTGAGGTGGAGACAATCTCAGACAGGAATGGTCTTGTCTTAACCACAAAAATGTATTAAGAATGAAGGCCTCAGTCCAGTTCCCATTGACTTAAATGGGAATTGGGCTGGGCCCAGGGAAAAAACCTTAAAACCAAACCATCTGCATGCATAGAATCCTAGCAATGGAGGGCTGGAAGGGACCTCAAAAAGTCATCAAGTCCAACCTCCCCATGCTGTGGCAGGACCAAGTAAACCTAGACCATCTCTGGCAGGTGTACTTTGTCCAACTTGTTTTTGAAAGCTTCCAATGATGGGAACTCCACAACCTTCATTGGAAGCTGTAATTAGTCTTATGATCAGCAAAAGTTGGGCTAGAAGGGTACACTTGGGAGTAACTGCAATGCTTCATCTTATTTCTAGTGAGTTCATTGTTTTCCCCATGGCCCATTAGGCAGCATGTTAGCCACAGCCTCTGTATTCTCAGGCACGTGTCCTCCCCCCATAGACTCACTACACTACAAAGCTGACTCAGTGCGGACAACAGACGTAGCTGAGCTGCAAGTGCAGACAAGGATCAGCAGTGTTCAGCACGATTTGCCACACTGTGTGTTGATCTGGCCTTACAGGTGTTAACCCGCCCATTACCACAGGAGATCTCCTCCACAGAGGAGTTTATGCAGATGGCCTTTCTGGAGGTGTGTAACCGTCTGAGAT